GATGTCCCATGTCAAGGATGGAGAAGGTAAGTCATGGCCGCTTCAATCTTAGACAATTTTCCTTGTTGATTTAAATTTTAAAGGACCCGAAGCCATTTCCAGCAAAACACACATTCCCTAGTTCATGCTATTCCTTTTAAGTCATTCTAGCTCTTCTGCAGTCATACCTGAATCTCAAAGAGAAACTCAAGCCTTCAGGGGAGCAAAGTTCTATGAGAAATACCAGTCGCAATTACGATAATACCACTAAAGCGCACCCATCATCTAACACTTCTAAGAGAATATACAAGTTGTACGGATTTTAAATATGACTGTTACCTAGGATTTAATGTAATAATAACAGCAGCTAATGTTTGAGTGTTATCATTTGCTACACCTTCATGTACTTCATATTAGTCAAGTCTTTTAATTCCTATTTTACAGCAGTCGAACTCCAGAGCAAGTGAACTTTTGAGCAGAAAGCTACTAAATGCAAATGGTAGAATTCTATCAGAAACTAAAAAAGACTGTGGAACCAGTAGAGTCTTCTAGGCAGACTAATAAAGGACGAGAGCATAACAAATTTAATAAGTTGAGGATAATGATCAAAGCTGTGTAAAGTTTCAATTCCACTCCATTCTTATGTTGGAAAGGTCAGGAAAAAAGAGCTAAAGTCAACCTGCTTTGCTATATAATTGTCAAGAACTCTGTTTTTGCAACTTGCTGTGAAGCAACTTGCATTTAGTGAATGGCGATATTGAAGAATCATCATGATTTTCTTGGTGGTAGAGCAATGGTTCTCTACTGCTGCAATGTCTGGAGACATTGCATGACATTGAGCATGACTGGGAAGAAGTGCTACTGGTATCCAGTGAGTAGAGGGCAAGGATGGTGGCTAAGCACCCTACACTGCACAGACCCCACTGCAAAGAATTATACAGTCCAAAATGTCAATAGCACTGAGATGGAGAAACCTTGCAGTAGAGTATTTCACCAAGATTCTACAAGGGCAACATGAATTTGTGAAGGGTCTGAATTACAACCTTTTCAAGTTAAATGTTTACATGGGTATAGTAATCCTAACCAACATGTAGCACAGTGCCTTCAGCAATGACCCAGCTAGAATCATTTTAAAAGCATGTGTATTTGTAGCTATATGCTGGCATGCTGCTGTGAGCTTCAAAATAATTTGCTCTGTTCAGTAGGTTAAAAGTTGCCCTGTGATTGTGCTGAGACCTGACTTTCACTTATTGACTCTCTGCACTCACCAACTAAGTATCTGCTGTATAGCAGGCCAGGGGATACAAAGAATAAAAATTACAGTAACAATAGAAACAAGAAAAGGAAAAAATAATCACAAACAAAACCTACAGTCTCTGGCCTCAAGGAGTCTTCAGTCCAGAGTGGAGACAAGTCAATGATTCAAAAGCCTATGGGGTAACAGGAAAAATGTGGGCACATGTGTGGGACCCAATTAACACAAGGGAGTGAGGGACAAAGGGAGAATGTTTCCTCAAAGAGGTGGTATCAAAGTTGAGTCTTACAGGAGAAGCAGGAGTGGGTGAAGAATTTGGGGACCGGGATTTGGGTAGAGAGCATCACTCACATAAAGATGGTGTGTGTTTCTCAGTAATCTTTTTAATAACATCAACAATGACTAAAATAATAGGCCACTCTTATGAAGCAAAAACTAGGAGGCTGGCACTGTTCTAACAGCCTTGCCTGTATGAACTTGGTTAATCTTCACAGAAGTCCTATGGTCATGACGTAGGTACTATAATTAGTCTCATACTACAGAAGAGGAAGCTGAGGCACAGGGTGGTTCAAGTGACTTTCTCAAGGTCACACAGCTAGTGACTGGCAGTTGGGATTCAAACTCATTTAATCTGGCTCTAGTCCCTAGATTCTTAACCAATACCTTATACAACCTGAAGAGCCAGAAGACATGAAAACTATCTTTAAGAAGGGCTATTAGCTAAGAGATTTAGCCAGAATTAATCTAAGAGACATAATGGATGTACTGAGTAGAAGCTCAGTACATCTGAGAAGCATGG